CTAGATTATTAAGTCATCTGTATATGCTTTTATTATTTTCCAGTTTCCAGTTTATTTAACTATTCTAATTAGTTCTTCTTTGTTTGAATTGCTGATTTGTAGGTATTTTATAATTTTGTCTTCCATTTCTATTTGTTTTCTGTTAATTACAAATATAATACTGACTCTAGTTTGGGTCTTGTCTTTCAACTTTTGTATATTATATATTATTGTGTCTAGTGATATTTGTATTCTGTTAAAATATCCTAGAATTTGACTGTAAAGCTTTGTACTGTATATGGTTTTGGTTACTGAAATAATTATTGCTTGGTTTATTTTTATTTCTCTGGTGTACCTCTCTTTTGTATTGTCTTTGTGATCAAATTCTTGACATTTGGCTATAGGTAAATCTTCTCCTATCTGTTGCATATGTTGTACTCTGACTTTGTTATTTACTATTTTGCATTTACAATCTATTTTTCTAAAGTTTATTTGTTAGTCAAATATATATGTCAAATATTTTTGCTTTTAAATGTTGTGGCTTTTTGCTATTTCTAGTTGGGTCTTGTTAATTCGGTTAATATGATTGCATACCTGTTTTCTAAATTATTTGATTGGTTATATTTTTCTCTAATCTCAATAAACTATTTTGATTGTTTTCCAGTTGATTTATATTTGGTGGCAGCTCTGATTTGTCTCCAGTTTAGCATATGTGTTTGTTGGACATTGATAATCTGTTTAATGAATATCAAATTGTGTTTTCTAATGTTTTTAATATTCTTATTGCTTCATATTTGTTCTATAATATCTTTAATCATGTGTTTGTATTAGGCTATAGTCTTGGTTTTATTCTACTATGATGTCTTCTTTCTTGAGCATCTGTAGGATTTGGCTTGTTAGACATTTTTTGAATTTGTTAATTATTGTTTTTAGTTGAAATATGTTTTCTGGTATTTATGTTCAGTTTTGTAAATATTGCAATCTGTTTCTGGTTAGTACTCCATATAGGTTGTTTTTGTTTAAATTTGTTATCCAGTTTTTAATATATAATACAAATTGTCTATCTTTTATACAAAATAGTTTATATTCTGTATAAATATATATGTTGCTATTTGAAACTATACATGGAACATCAATCTTGTATTTAAAGACTTGTCTGATTTGATTGTTTATGATGTTGAATTCTTGATTTGAGAGAGTTGTATTTTGGAACATGTATTATATGACTGACATCATAATCTGATTAAAAATATATTTGTATTGTTTATTTATAATTATGGCTCTTTTCAGAATCCATATTGTTGTTTTAATTTTTTGCTTGATTAATTTATACTGATGTTTTTTGCTATCTGTTTTCTGTAATCCATGCCCTTAAGATTTTTATAACTTGTTTGGATTCTACTAGTTTGATTGTTTGGTTTTAAAACTGGAAGGTTTCTGTATTTTGATTATTTATTATAAGAAAAGCTGCTTTTTCTAAATTAACTTTGAGATTAGCAAGCTTTACAAATTATTTAATGATTTTGATAATTTTGTTCATATAATTTTTGCAGCATGCTAGCCAGATTGTATTGTTCATATATGTTATTGATAAGATTCTATATTTTTGTTTCAACCATATTTTTGGATTATTTGTAAATTTCAAAATTGTAAATCTGTATTTTATGTTTTCCTTCTCCACTCTGCTAATTAGTGGATTATAATAAATATGTTACAAAAGAAGTGAAATTGTATCTTTTTAATCTATATCTTATACTGGTTTGAAACTGTTTATAAGACTATGATATGTGATAACCTTTATCTCTTTGTTATTAATTAAGTTTTTCAGAATTTTGCAAACCATTGCTGGGATTTTGATCCTTTAAAGTATTTTGCTTAATAGCTTTGGATTTATTAAATTGTAGGCTTTGCTGATGTCCTGGCTTAAGATCCAGCATTTCTTGTTAAACTCATTTGCTTCTTCTACAATATTGTTAAGAATACTTATAAATTTTTGTATTCCTCCTTCTGGAAGTCCTGCCTAATTAAATGGTAAAAGGATTTCATGTTCAATTAGTATATTACTTAATTTGTTATTAATAATTTTAGTGATTATTTCTAGTAAAGCAATTGGTCTTATATAGTTTAGATTATATTGTCAATTTGTTCTTTTGGGAATGAAATAGATATTAATTTTGTTTTATTGCTTTGGGATTTCTGACAATTCTAAAATTCTGTTAAAGATTAGTATAATTCTCTTAATTTCTTTGATATTAAGATATTTTAGCATAATATAGTTGAGTTTAGATTTTCCTGGAACTAACTCTGCTTTTGCTTTTGCAATGGTGATTTTAACTTTATTTGTTGATATTGATTGTGTTATTGGACTGTATCATATTGTATTGATATTTGATTATAGTGAGTATTCTTTTTTCTATTTAGTCCAGATTTCTTGATCCAATTCCTTGGTCTCTATTGTGGTATTGGAAAAGTGTAATATCACTTTGTTCTTGATTTCTTGTGAATCTATAATGATATTAATATTTGAAGTTTTAATTATTAATCTGTTTATCATGATACTCATTTATTGCTGACCCAGAATTGTACTGATCATTTTCTTGGGGTTGTATTTTATTTAAGACATTTTTTCTTCTATTTATTGTTTGATAACAGTTTTGTTTTTTTTTTAATTTTTTTTTAATAGTAGATTTCTTGTTGTTTTGTATATTTCTTGTATATGTGAAGTCATTCTTTTGTAATTGATTCTTCTGGTGGCTTATCTATTTGTATATTCTTTGAGTTTTTGTATTTTTCTTTTATTTTATCTATAAGCTTTAAGATTTCTTGCTTGGCTATTTCTAGGTCTCCTTTGTTTTTAAAAATGTGATTTCTTTATGTGTTTATTTTTCTTATAGTAAATAAATGTTATGTCTTTTCAGGTGGAGCCAGCTTTTTCCTTTGGTAATGTCTTTAATGTTTTTGTCTCTTAATATGTTGATATATTGCTTTACTAATAACAAGTTATGTATGTTCTATAGTTTGTTACTATTTATTCTTGTGATGTCATGTTATAAGTTTTGTTCAATAATTTGATCTTTTATTTGTTGTTAAAATCTTTTCCATTGTTCTGAGCTGGTATTTTTAAAATCAAAGATAATTGTCTTGAATTGTTTTTGTTGCTTTGCTTAATATTGGACTATTTTAATTATAATTTTACAAGTACTTATGTTATAATTACTATGTGTAAGCATGTTTGATATAATAATGTTAGTATATACCAAATTCTATTTTAATCTGGATAATATTCATATGTAATTAATTCCAATATGTGTGTCTCACAAATTTGACCAGATAAATCTATGTCTTATAGGTCATACTTCTCTAAATGTATCTATATGTTATAAGTGTGTTAGTAGTAATAGTGTTGTTAATATGAGTAGTCTATTTCTTCTTATTAGGTTTTTGTCTATATATGGATTCATAAGAGTATTGAAATCTTTAGCTGTAATAATATTTCAGTTTTACTCTGTCTTTTCAATACTCTGTTTTGCATTCATTTTGCTGATGGTATATGTTCTGAATTTCTTTTGGATTGTATGTATACTTCAATAATATTAATATATTCTTTTTCTTTGAATTGTAGGTTTAAGCATATTTTTCTGTCTTTCAAGGTCTTGACTTTTCCAATGTAGTTTGTGATTTGTTCTTTGATTATTATTAGAATTCTTGTGTCTTTCCTACTGTTGTTCCAGAAAGTGTGATAGCCTTGAAATTTTCAGTATATGTGTTTCTCAGTTTATATTTGCCATGTATTATTATACTAATATATTTATATATTTATATTATTATAAAAGAAATTTATTTGATAATATAATTTTGAATAATTATAATTTTAAATAATTATTAATAGTTTTACCATAACATTGTTTTTGAAAAAATATTTAAATTCAATTTTATTACATATATAATATATACAGCATAATAAATTACATATTATTATGTTAATAATAGATAGGTTCTTTTAAAATCATTTAATTCCACCTATGTTTTTATTATATAAAACCTATAAAGTTTATACTGTATTTGTACTTTTTGCAATAAAAAAATATTTTTATAGTGATAATAATAAAAATATGTAATTTTTATTTAATATATTTAAATATTTATATTAAATAACAAAAAATAATATATACTAAGTGTCGAATTGCTAATTTGTAGTTCAACATAATTTTTATTATAAGAACTTTTTTGCGTTGACTGTATGTAAATGTTAAATGCACATACATATATTAAAATCATATGGAATCTAAACTTGACTTCTATTAATGATCGTTGTTTTAATAGCAAATTTGCATATCGTGTTGAAGTAAGTTGATTATCGTTTTCTTGTTTAAATTCTATGGTAGTTTTTCAGGACTTAAATAAATAATATTATTATTAATTCTTTTTGATTTTTTTTTGCGTTTTAGTATCTCTAGTCCTTTTCAAAGTTTCATTAAATTTTACAAAATTTAATCCAATCATTCCTATAATGGCTAATGTTCTCCCTTGGTCGATGTCAACTATTGGACTCAATGATAACCCTGCGATTTGAGGGGATGTTATCAGTGCATAAAATAAAGCAATCGCAAAGCTCGTCTTCATATTAAAAGTTGGCTCTATAATCGCCGAGGGTATATTAAACGACCATTTTGGTGATGAAACCTGTAAAGCAGATGCCCATATACCGCCACCACAACCACTCAAGGTTCCACAAAGTAAGATGGCGGCCCAGCTAGTGTTCATCAATGATTCGTCGTACATGCCGAAACGAACAAGATCCACTCCTGACAAACATATGGAATTAGTACGTTGAATGCCATCAACAATTAAAAATATTGGATCAATCAGTGATTTCGGTAGTGAAACAAGAAAACGGTGAAAAGGGGAGAAATAAAACATCATAAAATGTATAATTCTGAAAAATCAAAAAATGTGAAGTTATTTATTTATATTACCAAACTTTATAGTGATATTATTTTTGAAAGCTTACAGATAAGTCGTTATTGTCGTATTGGAGGCAAGCCATCCGGGTACCTTTCCGCAAAGAATTGCTATTTGTTTTGTGCAATAAAATATACATTATAGACCGCTAAAAGATCATATATATATATAAACTGCACTGAATTTACCACTAGTAGTACTTCCCCCGAAACCTATAATGAATATTGCGAGTAGGCCTTGCAACCATGATACTTTTGTGCCCTTTAAGCTATCCTTATAATTTAAGTTTACGTTAATTGCCCGTATTGTCGTTATAATGCTTATCGGAACGTATTTGTCATGCCAAACTACATCAGATAATGCTAAAATAAATCGAGAAAATGATTGTATTCCGAGAATCTCTTGGTTAGTGTATGCTCGATGGTAAAAATGAGTGAAAGCATTCACTTATAAGAAATCGTCATGTAATGTTTTAACTAGGAGATCCCTGAAAGTTCTTTTGATTGGCTTAAAAGTGACTCACGATCAGCAAAAAGACTATGAGAGTGGCATTTGTTTACGAATGTCAGATAAAACCAACAAACCATACTATAATACTATTATTGATGTAATCAATAAATTTCTTTAAAAAATCTGTAATTTAATCAAATGTATGTTGTTTATTTAATTAATCTTAATACAGAAAATTATAAAT